CATTTTGGGAAACCATGGAATAAGCTCATGGCTTCTGGGTCTCTGTTGGGCTCCAGATGAGCAGAGAGCGCCATTTTGGACAGCATGGGAGCAACTGACCAGACAGAGAGAGGGAGATCTCTCCCTTGAAACTGGGCACACATTGAACTGCCGGCCTCCAAAGGAAAGCTCAACCAGCCTCTGGATAATACTTGTGGGTAAACTACTTGAAACCTATCTAGATCCATAGCTTGCAGTACAGCAGCTGCATGATCAACAGCTACCTAGCCACAGTTTGCTCTAAGGTTATTCTGTCATACCTCTCTATCCTGTACCCTACCTCAAACCTACTTCCTGTAATCAATAAAGTTCTCCATCGTTCTAAGCATGGTGGACTGGCTAGGAAAGGGATAAGAGGCATGCCTTCACGCCCCCTTGGTCTGGCTGACTAACGGAGGCCACTATTTGTGCTCCAGGCACAGGGAAGCAAGCCAAGTTCTTGCAGTAGGTCGCACGCCCTCAAGATTTACAAGGCCTTTGTATTCCAGGGGGCACAAGGCTGCAGACAGACCGAGACTCTTGGGCAGAAGGAGCAGTGAGCTCAGGCTTGCTGTTGTGCTCCAGGAAAGGGGTTGGCCAGATATGAGGCACCCCCGGGGAGGCACTTGGAGCTTGGCAGGTGGCCAGGAGCAGTGAGGTAGGCAGCTCAGCACAGAAGCGCCCCCTAATGCCCGCCACAAACATCAACTCATGGGAGATTACTGCCCAATACCACCCCAAAATGGAGGTGGAGTCTACTGCAAGTATCTTAGTACTTTTAAACCTTACGACAACAGGAGATGGAAAAGTGGGAGCAGCAGAAACAACATGTTACAGACTGAGTCAAGAATCCAAAGCTACCCACCCCACACAAAAACATGTGCCTGAGTTGCAAGAGTCTGCTGATCCCACATTGGCCTTGTCAGCCATCTTCAGACCCAATTGTGGAAGACAATCATCCTTGACTGTGAGAGATTGCCAAAAAAGATACCAGAGATGCCAGAGTGGAGTCACAAACAGTAGTATTCCAGGTCTACAAACCTACCTTCCCCACACATTCCTTTCTACTCTACATTCCCACACACAAATTGGGAAGTCAGGACAGCTTCTTGCTTTTCCATCCCCTGCTATAAATGTTCTGTTAAAATACAAGGAAATTCTTAAACAAAAACTCCACTTGGGATTGATTAAATACAGCACCCTCCCAAAGCAGAATATTAAGAATAGAGAAATAGCCATATTGGAGGACATCTCTTAACATTCAAGCAACTTTCTTCCATTGACAGTGAAAGGTTTTATAGAAGCTGACTAAAACCTTTCATCTCAAGGCATCATACTAAACACCAACATGAATCATCAACAGAACTGGATAATTAGATCCACCATGTGGATCTCTGCCACCTAGGCAAAGAATGACTGGCAGCACAGCAGGATGTAGAGCAGAGGCAGGCAATTATTTCAGGTGGGGGACCGCTTACCGAGTTTTGGCAAGCTGTCAAGGGCCACATGGGTAGCCCCACCTCTTGACAGGTGCCCTGCCCTCTGGTTGCCATCTTGGGGCCAGAAGTCCCATCCCTAGCCTCTGATCTTTGCCACAGGAAGTCCCTCCCCTTGCCCCTGGAAGTACTCCTTTGGGGAACAGGGTTAGCCATCTTAGGGGGAAAAAAGCAAATTATATACTAAAATCAAACAGCCATAATAATATATTAAAATTTAATTTAAAAAATATATTTTTGTCCTGATTTGTGTGTGTTCGTGCTGTATATGTACAAGTGGTAGCATAATAGCTCAAAATGCAGTCTTTCTAGTATACTGTGTGGGGTGTCAGGGGGTATGGGGGCTTGTGGGGACGTATGTGTGTGTGTGGGTATGGGAACCATGTGGTGCAGAGTGGCCAGCGAGCAGGCAGGAAAGTAGGGGGAGTGGAAGCAAGCAGGTGCATGGGAATGCAGGACCTGCACCAATGTCCCAGGGCCAGTGCTGGCAGGACCCAGAGTGGGGCGGTAGGAGCATGAGGCACAGGCTGCCAGAGGGCTATGGCAGGGGTTCCCAACCTTTTCATACTGTGGACCTGCAAACTATTTAATTTACATCTTTAAATTTAATTTACACATTTCAGTTTAATTTTTGTGGGGGAGCAGGGTTGGAAGGATCAGACCAGGTTGGGGTACAGGGGGACCCTGCAGGGGAGGAAGATGCGCAGGCAGTGGCCCAAGGGACCCAGCTGGGGCTGCCCAGGAAAAAGGGGCTCTGCTGCCTTTCCTAGGAGCAAGTAGCAGAGCCGCCTCCCCGTATTCTGCCCCATGCATTTCCCCTGCTCTGCTCGGCTAAGCATGGCCATGGTGGCGGGAGCAGGACAGGGCACACAGAGCCAGCTGCCTCCCTCCCAGAGCTGCCCCACCACCCGCACGTGACTGCTGGTGGCAGAAGCCACAAGCTGGCAGCCAACTTGCAGGACCACAGCCCTGTGGTTGGGAATCCCTGGTCTATGGAGCTGGACTGGGCTGTGCCAGCGGAGAGAGAGAGGGGAGCTGGCCAGGCTCCATAGAGCCCCTTCAGGCCAGGACTCCGCACTCCTGCCACCCCACTCTGGGCCCCGCAGCAAACACTGCCTGGCGGCAGCAAAGAGAAACACTTCCCTCTGCCTCAAGCAGCAGTTTGAGCCCTGTCCACAGGCTGTCCTGCCTGTGCCTGCTCTCGGTTGCCACTGCTGCCCCACAGAGAGGCAGTGACGCGATGGAGAGGCAGAATAGACCCCACATGGGCTCCAGGAAGCTGCAACAGGGAGCTCTGGTCATGGGGAGAAGGAGGGCTGCTTTTGCCCCACGCTGAGCAGCAGTTTCTGTCCTGCCACCCCTGCTCAGCCTGGACGGGCAAGCACAGGGTCAGGGCTCCTCACACTTGCCCCTGCCTGTACTGTGGGGCTGGGAGTCAGCGGGCATGCAGAAGCCAGTGGCAGCCAGACGAGAGTGCGGGGCCCACATCGGTGTCCCAGGGCCAGCGCCAGCAGGGTCCAGAGCATGGGGTCCTGGCCAGCAGGGGCTCTATGGAGCCAAGCTACCTCCCCTGTCTCCCTACTGGCACAGCCCAGCCCAGCTCTATAGACCCTGCCAGCCCAACCCAGCACTCCTGCCACCTTGCTCTGGGCCCCACTGGCGCTGGCCCCAAGACACTGGTGGGTGCCCTGCGCTCCTGATCGCTTCCATTCCCTCCCACCAACACCGCTGTTTTCCCCACTTTCCTGCCCACTCCCTCTCTCCCCCTTCTTACCTGAATTTCCTGCTCCAGTGCAGGGAGGCAAGAACAACCTCACAGACCCAAGCCAGAAGCCCCTGGCTTTCCTTGTGTCCTACTGCCCCCAGTTCCTGTCATCTTTGATAGGCAGCCAGGGGCAGATAAATAATAATTTTCTAAATTTTTTAGGGGGTCCGTGGGCTGGATAGAATAGCCTGGTGGGCTAGATCCAGCCCACATGCTGTATTTTGCCCACCCCTGATGTAGAGGCTATGTAGACCAGCATTAGAAGAGAAGACAACACACTTTGCCAGAGAACAGGGTAGGATAGGAATAGCAGAACTCAGAAACTGTGAGTTCATCTGAGACTTGAGAGTGTCACAGGCCCTCCTACCTCATCCAATCCAACTTGTTGCTCTACCCAGTCCTCTGTGATCAGATGACCAAAAAATGGAGCTGGAAGTGTCTGGACAAGATTTGGAGCCATCTGTCAAGCGGATGGGATGTAACACTGAGCTTGGACAAGGAGATAGGAGAGACCAGAATGCCTGGTCACGGTAACTGTGACCCAGTGCGGGAAGAATGTGTACAGGGGAACAGATGTGATGAAAAGCCAGGACTTTGGCAGAAAACTGAAACAAAAGGGAGAATGAAGGCTGGGACAAGAAGCTGGTAAGTGGGAAATAGTGTAAGGCCTCTGCACTGCAGAAGGCAACTAGGTAAGCAACAATCAACCGCCTGACTAGGAGTAGCTGAGCCTGAACCTGCCGACTAGTTCCAAGGTTACTCTTAAGTAGGTCTTGCAGCAGCTGGCACCTGGTGTCTGCATCGGGCCTCAGCCTGCAAGTAGTTCTCATCCATGTGACTTCCCTGGTGCCTGTCCCTGCATTCCTGCCTGTGCACCCAGTCCCTGAACTTGAAGAACCCAGTTTGGCCTTGGCTTGCTTCCCAACATCTGTTTCTGGTAACCCTCTGGCTTGGCACATGAACCCCAGTTTGATCTCAGCTCATCTCCTGACATCTGCTTCTGGTATCCCCCTGCCTCAGCAAGTGAACCATGGTTTCACCTCAGATGACTCCCTGACCTCCGCTCCTAGTAAACTGTCTGGTGTGGCATGTGAACCCTGGTCTGACCTTAGCTTGCCCCCCAACCATGGATGCTGGTAACAACTTCTGGCTACAACCTCTAGGCCTCACGCCTCCATGTATCCCAACACAGAGGCACTAGGATCCGAGGAGGAGTCAGGGTGGAAGGAAGAGTGCTCCATAATCCATTTTCTAAATATCTCAGAGAATAATAGCTACCTTTCTTGCTACTGCAGAAATTAAAAATTACGGGAAGGAAAGGAAGCAGCAAAATATTCAAGACTAGGAAGGCCTATTGGTTATCAAGTATTCAACAGATGGATTTATTTGAAGAAAGCTAGTTCACAGAGTCTTCTTGCTTATACATATCTCCTTCTAAAAACCTTAAATTAATAAAGAAAGTTGGCTCAGTTATCTGAATTTTTAATGACAAGCATTTTCCCAAAACAGAATTAGGACTAACCATTTAAAAAAGAAAAAGTTAACTCATAGCATAAATTCTATTTTTTAACCCAAAAGTATCTTTAAAATGATAAGCACTTTACAGCAATGAATAAACAAATATATTAGTGACATACAACTAACACTTAAAATAAAGAACTATACTATATTTGTAACAGTTCTTAGTGTACAGATCAACATATCTAGAGGAAGTTTCTTACCAGCAGCTGGTAGGTCTAACTTTGCTCGTTTCAGTTCTGACATCGAATTTTGAAGCTGCTCTATTACAACGTCATCTTCACAGAAGAAGTCCTTGGCTAGAGTGTCCTGAAGAAATTCTACAAGTTCTTCCATTTGTAATTTCATCAGATGTTCTAGATAATAACAAAATATTATGATGAACAAATAAGTGTTTTCAGGTATCATTCAAATATAAATAAAGACCACTAGAAAAGTGATTTTTTTTTTTTTAGTTTCTTTAACAGTTTCAAAACTGAAACATTTCTACAAATGACAAAGAACACAGGGATGATGGAACATTTTCAAAGCACACTAAAACTGCATGTGCTCAGACCCTATAAATGTTTTCTCATTTTTACAGTAACTGCCTCCCCAGGACAGTGTCTCCCAAACTTGAGAGGTGATATCTCTTCAGAAAACTGAAAGCAATAGTACCATCCTTCAGTCTCCCTGTTATTATGTTACAGATCTACACATTTTCATTTGCATTTATATATTTTCCAGCTCCTGTCCTTCCCCTGGAACATGAAGATATAGTCTTCATAACCTACCTCTCAGAAGATAAATTAAGCTGTTTAAAATTTTGATACTTAAGCTACTGTCATTCATAACTGAGATAACATTCACGGGAAAGAAAGCAAGAGTTTACAAGGATTGCTAGAATCTTTTTTTAATTTTTATTATTACTTTTTAAAGAACATGGCAAAAGTTTTCATTAACCTCATTCTTGGAAAAAACAGAACTGTTTATGACTAACATTTTCTAAAGAATTCAGTCTGAAAAGCATCCCAACATGGAAAATCTCAGTCAAAACTGTTACAGCTTGGAGCCAATAAAAAGGAATGGAATACAGATTTTTGTAATAAAAAGTGTCAGGCAACTTTAATAATTGGCAGTGCTACCAGTCCTCCCCATAGAAACATTAAGGAAGAAATATTGATGAACTGAGGTTTAGTGGGCATGAATACTGATATGGAATCACAGGGCCCAACCTTGAAATAATCAAGTCCCAATGTACCAACAGTGACTGGCGTCACACTTCAGAAGGCAGACAAAGTTCTTGGGGTGAATACGACATCTTTTATTAGACCAACTTAAATAGTTGGGGGGAAAATTCTGGAAAAATGTTTTTCCAACTATTTAAATTGGTCAAATAAAAGATATATTCACCCGAAGAACCTTGTCTGCCTATGTCCTGAGACCAACATGGCTACCACCTACACCCCTGTAACACTTCAGGAGGTGATGTGATGAACAATTACAGCATAAGTGGCCCATAAGAGAAATTTCTTAAGAGACCCTTGGCAGTTAAAAGTAGATTAAGTAACAAACCACCAAGGTCTATGTACCTACAGAAGCTGGGAATACATGATTTTGGAGAGTAAGGGGATCTAAAAGAGAAAGCAACAGTCCTAAACAATTGTGTTACTGAAAAATGCCAACATGCTTTTTCAGGCATTTTACCTCCCTTTCAACTGTAACAAAAACTGAGAATCCTTCAATATTATAAAATCAGGGTCTACACAGGCATGATGGGGAAAGGGGGACAAGGAACTGAAAGATACTGTTAATATGAATTGTTGGTAAGAGGGGAAAAAGTTTTTTGGGAGATGGAACGAGGAGGGGATCCAAGTAGTGTAATGAAGCTTAAAAATGAAGTTAAATAACATAAAAGTAATGAACCATATCGTAATAACATTAGGCCACTAGGCCGCGTGCACAATAGGTATTGGTGTACTTCTCTGGTGGCTGAAGATGCATGTCATGGTTTTGCTGTTGTCTCTCTTTGTTCCCCAGCAGCACATTTATGCAGACCCTGCTGCGGCTAAGTGCCATATTAACCTACAGTGAGAAACTGGATGCTATGAGGAAACTATCATATCGGTTTGCTCAGGCGGAAATCAGTTTTATAACTGAATTTCTCTGAAAACTACATGTCACACAATTGTTTTCCACTGCTCACAGAAAGCGGAGATATTGATTTCTTTTAAAATACAACCAGAACAGGGCAGCTGCATGCAAAGCCTGCCTGCTGTACCACTTTACATGCATTAAGTGACACTGAGGCTGCGTCTAAACTGCAGACAAAGAACTGTTTACACAGCAGTCTAATGCAGACATCCAAGCTAGCTCTAAAGCAGCTAAGTCATGTACCAGTAACAATCAAGATGGATCAACAGAATACAACAAGACACAAGATAAATGTGTCTTTGGCCCTCTTAAGCCACTGTGGACATATTTACATTACACTGTAGTTACCGAATCTACAAGTGAAGACTCAGAGTTAAAAGGAAAATTACAAAGAAAATGTTTTCATGGCAGACACAGGGAAAGATCAGCCTAAAGTGCAGATGCTCCTCCAAAAACTAAAATCAAGTATAAGGGGTGTGTACCCTGCCATTAGAGGCATGATTACAGCATTGGCAGGCAAACCTATATCGTGATGGCGGCATACACATCACTGGTACTTCACCTAGCTAATACAGGTAACATCTGCAGCGAAGATGCAATGGCACAGACGTAAGCATGCACAAGTCCACTGCAAGTGCTTCTGAAAGAATGTAGCTAGGAAAAGCAAAGAACACAAAGGGTTCAACCCGAACAAGTTAGCCCCTTCATAATCTGTCAGACCACTGTATTTCAGTTATCCAAACCATGAACCTACAGTGCTCCTTTCCTACCATTTCTAGAGGCCAGATTATTTATTAACACCGTTTAAATATTATTATTACTATTCAAATATATGGGGAGTAATTTAGTCTGTTGAACAAGGTGCTGGCTCGCTTGCAAGTCACTTAATTTTTTCTGGAGGAACTGCCGAATACATAAAAGTAATTCGCTTTTAAGTTGTGCCACGCAGCTGGAAACACTCATCACCATATCCTCATAGAACCACAATTTCAACAACAGATGTACAGCATGATCTACAACAGGGTGAGGCAAAATTAGAGGTGTACCAATACATCAGTCCCATATGGGAGCAGCACTAAAAAAAGAAAAACTGTATTGGCAATCGGCTTTTTTCGGCTGATGTGGCCAATAAATGCCATGTGCATGTGTGCAGCCACAGCACAGAACGCAGGCGGCCAGGACCACAGCCCGGCAGCATGGAGAACAGCTGGGTCCAGCTGGTAAGCCTGTTGTGGGAAAAGAGGCATGGGGGGGCTGGGGGCCAGATTGAGGCCCCAGCAGTGAGGAAGGGAGTGGGGCTGGGGCAGGTGCAGATGCTGCCCAGCCTGGGGAGGGCATAGGACTGAGCTGCACGCAGGGAGACGGGGCAGCTCCTGCCACTGCCCACAACCCTGGGGGAGGCATGGGGAGCATATCCCCCCAAATCTCCGTGTGGGGCAAGGGCAGGCTGCCACTGCAGGCTGGGGCCCCTAGATGAGCCTCTCATGGCTGTGTCCCATGCCATGCCCTGCCCCAGTTGGGCAGCACCTGCCCATGCCCCACTCCCCTCCCTGCAGCAGCAGCAGGCAGGGTGCTCAGGGAACAGGTGCCTGGCAAGAAGCATCTCTGACCAGCGCTGCACATCATAGCGAGGGGCGCAGCCTCTCCCAGGCCATCTGTATCACCAGGGCTCCCTGCCACTCTCGCACAGCCACTGCGCTCACCAGACACGGGAGGGAAGCCCCAGGCACTGGAGCCACCTGTCTTCCCGCCCGGGGTCGTACAGCAGGGAAAGGAAGTCCCAGGCAAGGGAAGGCCGCTGCTCCAGTGTCTGGGGCTTCCCTCCCGCGCCCAGAGAGTGTGGGGGCTGCGCATGAGTGGCAGGGACCACTGGCAATACAGACAGCCTGGGGAAAGCTGCACCCCTTGTCACAACATGTAGTACTGGCCAGAGCCTCGCCAGGGCACCTGTGCCCTGAGCACTCCACCTGCTACTGCTGAGCCATGGGGGAAGTGCGGGGGTCCCCATACACCCCCTCACCCTCCCTCATACCCCAAAAACCTCACACACCCACCCCCTGCCTCCACAGCCCCCTACATATACACAACCCCCCAACATATCGTATGCCCCCCAGACACAGCAACACCCCTTCACAAACCCTCCCACACACACCCCACTCACACCCAAACCCATGCACACACCCCACCATACATGCACAATATACAAAACTAAGAATTAATTTTTGAGTTATTATGTAACCACCTCTATATACACTATGCAAACATAGATCATGACAAAAATAATTTTAGTAATAAAATTAAAATATGTTCTAATAGGTGTTTGACTTTTAGTGTATGATTTGGTTTTCTCCTGGTTCTAAGATGGCAACCCCCACTCCCAAAACGAGTATTCCTGGGGGCAAAGGGAGGGACTTCTGGTGGCAAAGTCAAGGGGCAGGGGCAGGACGTCTGGTCCTAAGATGGTGACAAGGGGGCAGGGCAACCATCAAGGGGTGGAGCTACCCATGCAGCCCTCAACAACTCACCAAAACTCATTAAGCATCCATCCACCTGAAATAATTGCCTGCCCCTGATCAAGAGGGCTGCTTACTTAGACAGTGGGCACAGATGGACATTCATTTCACAGAAATTCTGAGTGCCAGAAAAAACAGAAAATGGAGCGTACATGACTTCCAGCTACACAGGTGAGCTCTCCAGCCAGGGGACACTAAAAGGCTGCTCTTTGGGTGATCAGTTCTCTAAGAGGAACCCACTCATCGACATCCTGCACTCCCCCGTACCAGGGAAGCAGGTGGGCTGTCAACAGGTAGTCAGCAGCTGTTGAAAAGCAGCAGCTGTTGAAAAGCAGCAGCTGCCCCAGACAGGCCTGGAAGAATGCCCCTGCCCCCACCCCACTCCAGTCAGCTGACTGGCAGGATGACAGGGAAGGTGCCATTCTCCTGTATCAGGAACCAGCCCCCCCACCCCCAAAAGGTTCGTGGCACAAAAGAGTGGCCCCTATCCATGCAGATTTCTGAGTCAACAGAAAGAAATGAATGGAGAAAGGGGCAGATGCACTTTCCCAGAGCCCCGGGAGGATTCCAGCCCCTGGAGAATACTGCTGTCCCTCTAACCCCAGAAAATCATCAGACTGGCAGGAAGGGAGAGGGCATCCTCCCACAGTGAGAACCCTCCTGGGGCTGCAAGAGAGGGCATCTGCCCAGGTGCACCAGTCCCTTGCCTATACACCCCCCTAGGGGTCACCCAGGAAGGGTACATGGGGTGGGAGGCAGAGGCAGCACAGCTATAGACCCATCCCACAGAGGGACAAGTCCAGCTCCAGGAAATGCCCTCTGCCAATTGCCAGGTCTGGGCAGAGAAAGGAGGCAGATGAGTGAGGCTTGAACCCCAGGTTCAAGCCTCCACCCCCTTGTACCCACAGTGGGTCCCCACAGGTTTCCCTGGGTCTGTCCAGCAGCTGGGGGGCCTTAACTCCCACAGCAGGTCCCCACAGGTCTCCCAAACAGCTCAGCCCTGGGCAGGCTATCAAGGGACCAATGCTCTCCTTCCCTCAGTTCCCCTTGGAGGGAGGGAGGAAGAGCAGAGGACTGTGGGATACTGGGTGTCCTCATTACCTGAGATAAGTATACAGCTACTCAAGTTAGGGATGGTCCTGCTTTGAGCAGGGGGTTGGACTAGATGACCTCCTGGGGTCATGCAACACCTATCCATGTCCTTAACAGATCACAAGGCTCTCCAAAGCAAACAGTGCAGTTATATATGCTAAGATTATGCTGTCACCAAGAAGAGTTCAAAATGGAAGAAAAATATGTTGAATTATTTCAAAATACATTAAGACAAATATTTTCTAAAACAACACTTAAAACCCTGACAAATTCCTATTTAGCATTTAAATGGTGAGAGATCTTACTCTTGTGCAGTTTCAGAATTGTGTAAGACATAGCTGTAAGCACACGCTCTCCTTCCAGTATGTAGATATCCCATATCCTGAGGTTTAATGTAAAAGGAGTCTGTAATAACAGAATCACACAGAAATGTCAGAACAGTTAGCCCCAACCTAAGACTAAAAATGGGAATATAAGGTACGAAGATACTCACACGATCAAGGAAACACTGAAAAAACCACTTAGTTGTGTAGAAGCTTGTGGAGATCTCTTGGGTGTCCTGTCAAAAGCAAGTGTTTATGAATACTCATATAAGATTAAAACAACAAATTTCCTGGAACATAAAGGCCATTTTGCTTACTCCTTAACTGAATTTTGCTACTAGTGCTGTCCAGGTCAGTATTTGACCATCTTCAAATTAAACTATTCTACTTTCTTTTAACAACGTTACTTCAGTCTAAAATATGCTTTCACTCACTTATAATTTTTCTTTATCTACTAGATCTTGAGATGTCCTCAAATGTGCATCTTCAGTTTGACTTCTGACCAGGTACAGAATAAAGCAAAAAATACTGTGTTTCATTGCATTTCCACAATGAAGCACAATAATACATTCTGGAGGAGCCAGAGATCAGTCTCCATGACAATTTAATCTTTCATTTCTCTGCTGACAAGGTTGCCAACAAATATAATGATTTTGTGACATGGACCCCTATCCACCAGGAAGAAGCTTAAGTCTATCA